GGGAGGATGTTGGTCGAGCCGCATCAGAATGACAAAATTACGATTGTTCGTCGTTCCAGCTACTATGTTGCTGTGTTTGATTAAAAGAAAGCTCTTTTAATGCGTGTTGCCTTTGTTGAGTATATAATCTTGACCTTGGAGGAATTAGGGGATGTTGATTCAATCCTGACCAATTCAATCGACGATCTTACGATTCATCAAACTAATCCTTGCGTCGTTGATTCATGCCGTTACACAGCAATCATACAAATTTCCAATCAAAAGCTTTGCAATCCTGCATTCACAGAATACTACCGAATCGCAATTACACTTGCAACAGACAGAATAAAGAAACTCATCCTTTATTGAACATATGTCTATTAAGCAGAATATATTTGGTGAAAGTTACTAATTTGACGTTAATGTGAATTTATAACATTGCCGGTGGAAATATTAATTCGCCGCGTTCTGGATATTGTTACGATATCAACCAGCAACTCCAGTAACCTTTTAACTTTAAAACTCGTTCAACTCGTAGGATTTGTCTAAAAAAAGAAAAAGTTCATGAATTTATTTATGCGTTTGTCTCCTTCCCTGTCCCGTGTCTTTTCAACGAACACAATACTCTTCTATCAACGTCAGATAGTCCGACGTTCGCGAGGTACAAAGGGTTAATAGTATTCAAGAAAACTCGAAGAGACATCAATTATTACATACATAATCTGAACAGAAACTTTTCAGAGAAGATCCACAGCTGCAACCGTACGTGAATAATTAAAGCTGAATTTATACTGTTTCATTTTGCAGGAATACGACGCTCTCGAAAACGACCGCTGCTCTCATCCTCGTTTTCATCGGCCGATGACGTGTTCCCGCAAACTGAAACGGTGTAAATTCTGTTTAAGACGCGAACGACGCCACGCAGACGTGTCCTCTAGTTTTGCATAAAAGTCGATCGGTGATCGATGATCCGGTAGACGAAACTGGTCCGGCGTAGAAGAGAGAACCAGTTCCCTATTCCCTTGGAGGCAACGGGGCCAACAAACAAAGAGGACGCGCACACTAACTCGGAAGAGTCGTAGAAGAGCATTGTTTTAAAGGCAGCGTGGTACCGTGGCCCTTTCTTCTCTCTTCTACGAAGTTACAAGGAGGAACGAGTCCGAGGGCCGGTAGACAAAACTGACCGACCTGGTCGGTTATCCTGCTGGCTGCCGTTGGCTGGCTCTCTTAGTTGGCTTGGTGAACGAGCTGGGCTTTGGTCATTGCCGGCTCGCGACGTGCTGTTATTCTGGGCTCCACTCGGCTATATTTAGACGAGACCACCTTGAGGGAGCTCGAGAGAGCTCGAGTGCTCTCCGCGGACTGCAACCGCAGAGAGGCTTTTCTCTATTGGCCGATCGTGTGCGTTAGTTGTGCAACAAGCGTTCGCGATCCTTTGGAAACGCGATCGAGGAATTCCTGCCCACGCTCTTTTTCCACGTCGCTCCTTTTTCATCGTACTTGCTCTCTAGCCGACCTCGCCGTGCATTTAGGTACACAGTGGCTCGCGAAAGTTATCCGAACGCTTGTACAAATTTTTTACGAATCAATCGTTGTCTAATGTCTCGTACGAAATTTTTTGAGATTCTGAGATTTCACTAGCACCGTAACCAGATTCCAGTATCGTAATTGTATTTTCGAGTTTCAAACAAATCCGAAAACTTGTACAGATGGATATTTAGTACAAGGATACACGCGTCTCCCCTGGGAATTATAAATATATGTATTTCAAACGTTCGTCTAGCTCTAACTGAAGCAACTCTAACTGAGCAGTTGTTCAAACAATAGCAGCTCGGCTAAACATATCGGATAATCAGACGTTAACAATGAAGTTTTTTTTCGTATAAATGGAATTTGTACTAACAGAGTTCTACTATGGCAGAATCGCAAACTGTTGTACACTGCATCG